GTATGTTCAGGGAAATGGCTCGAATACACAGGGATCTCAGGGCAATGCTCAAGGTTATGAACAAGGAGAGAGTTCAAATGCGCATAGGTCTCAAGGGAGGAACAATTACAATGGTGGTAACAATAACAGGAGGTAAAATTTCAACAATCGAAAATTCTGTGGTGGCTACAATGGTGGGAACAATAATTATAGGTCATATTCTACTTTTGGGAATGATGGGAAAGGTGTTCAAAATGGAGGTTCTCAAAGTTCTTTCTGTGGTAATGGAAGCAAACGAGGAAATACTTGGAGTGGTGATACAAACTATAGAAATGCTATATCTTCTGAATGTCAAATTTGTTCTAGAAGAGAGCATACAACACCAAATTGTTACCTTAGAGCTGATAACAGTCAATCATCTAGTTGGTTCTTGGTATGTCAGATATGTGGGAAAAGAGGTCATCGAGCTTTGGAATGTTTTCATAGAAATAACTTTTCATATTAAGGCAGTGCACCACCAACAATATGACATTGTAACTTTTAAAACAAGATGTATGAAATTGTGGTTCGACTCATAAACATAATATACAACTTATATATGACCTATAAAATATGGAAGATTCTACATATTACCGTATTTCTATATGATAAAATTCAACATCTAATAAATTATTAAATTAAGACAATATCGATAATTTTGTCCATGCACCTAAATACCCTTTCATTTGCCCAAGCAAACAAAAAGGTGAACTGCACCGTAGCAACTACAAGAAGTTGAACGAAAAAATCTGGAAAGACCGATCGATATGACTATTCTCTCGACCCCATCTTCTTCCACTTTCCCTCCCACGCATGTACTTTACCCTTTTTACTTTGTCTTTGGTAGACACGTATGCTAAGTAACATGGACATCTCGCATGTCATCTAAGGCTAAAGGTTTCCAATAATACCATCAGGATCCTCTTCGGATCCTTTTGATGGGGATTCTAGGAATTCGTAAATTATGTATGTTCATTGTATATCGTGTGATCAGTTTATGTCAAGTACTATTTATGTTTATTTTTAAATTAAAATATATAAAATGATTTCTGACAGCACAATGTACGATAAACAGACACGATTCACGAATCCTCATATGCTCACGAGGAGAATCCAGACTCATATTATTTGGTTTCTTACCTAATATTTCAATTAAACTATTTAAAAAAAATTCAAATTCAAATATAAAGAGACAGACACACTGCTTTTGATTTACTAACTAATTTACCTCAAATTTACACGTTACGATTTAAATTGTTAGTGGACAACGACATAACATCTCTCAATCGAACATATTGCTTTTATAACTCTGTCGTCTTTTATCCCACAACAGTCCAAGACATGTGACCTTGCATTGCATTTTGTAAGGAAATTGTTCTGAAAATTAGACCTTTGAAAATCTCAAACAGGGTTTAGATCCAAAAAATTGAAGTATCCAATATTAAAGGCCTTTACATGCTTTGATCCACTACGATATTTTCCATTTTTTAGTTAAGATTCGTTGACAAACAGAACTTCGTCAAGACATGCCTGCAATTGCGACAAATCTTTCATACTAAAAAACTAAGATCGAAAATTAATCTAAAACAAATGAAGTTATAAGAGAATTCAGGGAAGTGGGTGAATCCATATTTACTGCATGACCTGTGTCCTTGATTATTTCCACCTTTGATTTTGGTCCCAACTGCCTGTACATATTCAAAAGTGAACATTACCAATAATAAGTTCGGATTAATTAGCTTAAAATGCTGATTAATTAATTTAATCATGAAGAAATAAATTAAAATTAAGTCACCTTTGCAGCTGATAGGCCAAGTACACAGGGAACACTTCATCCTTGTCACCCCAAATTATCAGTGTTTCCTTCATCCAAATAAGAACTCCCTTCAAAATTTATGAAGAGAAAGTTTTCTAAGTGTTGAATTATGGCCAAGTTGGTTTATACCTGAGTTAGAATAGGAAGGTCTGGATCTTCTTTTTTCCTCAGCAAGTGCTCTGCCAGCTCTAATTTCTCCTTCCTGTGTTGTTTATAGGTCACCTACATATCACAACATACAAATCCTATCCTTTTAGAATTAACTTGACGCACAAATGTTCTTTTGCCAGACACTACAACAAAGTGCCTAGACACTGGGATTGTCAGATTATATATCTTAGTCTTCAATCAATACTTTATCGATAGACTAATAATATAACATATTAGATATCTGAGTAGAACATTGCAAATCCAATGAAACTCACATTGATGAACCCATGAAGGAAAATGTCAGGGACCCACTTAGAAGGGCCAGGTTTATGCACTGATAGATTCACCAGGAGCCGTAGATCATGAGCACTTTGAGGCACGAGGAGATTCAATGCATTGCTTCCAACCTTATTGAGCTGCTCTCTCTTCTGCTCCTCCGTCATCCCAATCCCACAACTCACAACCACAGTCTTCTCCACCAACTCCGGGTACATCTCCGCCATCCAATACGCCACGAACCCTCCGTAACTTATGGAGTACACAGAAAATCTGTCCAACCCTAATCTCTTCAACCCTTCTGCCACACATTTTGCTTGGAAGATCTCAGTCCTTTCCAGCCTAGTTGTGTAGGAGTCGCCAAAGAACAGTAGGTCAGGCACATACAGATTGAAGCTTTGAGAGAGAGAGCCCACCTGATGGATGAACTGCCACTTTGAATTGCCACCATACCCATGAAGCATTACTAGGGCAGGCTTCTGGGACCTCCTAGGATTTGCAACCCAAAAGTGCATCGTGGTTTGATCATCTAATTCAACTGTGCAGGGACAAAGACCACACGACCTGAAATATACTGATAAAAGTAAATCTGCAACTGTGATTAGGAGCGTGATTGGATTCAGAAAAGGTAAAATTGAAATCAAGAATTGGGAAATGGCTATGATTGTTGCAAGGTAGAAGGAGAGGACATTGGAAAATTTTGGGTAGGCCATGACCTAGGGTTTGAATTTGAATTGAGAAATATTGAGTGGTTGATCTCCTCCTTGTTGGATTACTTAAATTGGCATGGTTTGTGATGCTTCACGCAGTTCTATATAAAATGTAAAAGAGAGTTGGGGGCATCTCACATTTGTGAGGTGATGAGGACAATTGCATGACCCACTTGCATGTTCTTCTGGACGATGAAAACCAATCGTGCCAACTCAAAATGACAAAAGGAAAAACAAAACTGAGACTGGTTTGTAACTGTAATCATATTAAACAAGGGAGCGGGAATAGCGCTGCATCATGTCATTCTCGTATATTTCGTATCACTTTCACGCTATGACATGAGTATATGTAAGTATGTTCCTACAAAAGTGTTGAAGGATTAACGAGAGTAGAAATAGCGTTTCCTTGTTGAAAATTTCTTCTCTCTTTCTTTCAAACAATAAAAACATAATACATAGGCTTCTTTTTAATTTCGAAGAAGTGTCTATATATGTCAAAGACAAATGGCAACCATTGTTAATAAAGGAGAGTTTTAACGAAATGGCAACCATTATTAATAACAAAAAATTAATAAAAGTGAATGTGAAACAAGAATAAATATGTGAGTAGCACCATCTAAAGCTACCAATTGATACCAATGCTACTGATCTAACTACTTTTTCCTAAATTAAGCAAAAGTTGGTCCTTTACGCTAATTTAAAAGCATGTATGTATAATGGTATGGCATCCGGGACCAAAAGATTTGGACCATTAAATTAAAGAAATACCACAAGCGATAAGGTTCAGCAGGAATCTACAGGACCAGGGCATGGGAAAGCATCACTTTGTCTTCAAGATGGGCACTGACTTCCAAAATTTATGAATCTCGGAAAGGGAAATGATAAGGAGATTTTCTAAAAAGTGAAATTCTTTATGAATTTTCTATCATTTTATGTTTTTTGCACAATTTTTATGCCAACATTATAAATTTTTTTGTCAAAAACATAAGATGACAAAGAGTTCATGGAAAGTTTCACTTTGAGAGAGTCTTCTTAGCATTTCTCATCTAGCGAAAGGAGCGGAATATAACCGAAAATCCAGTGTTCAAGTGGCAATAAATTAAGATGCCAAGTGGGCATGTAGATAACAGTGATTTAGGGTTAATTAACACTCAGTCACTTCGGGCCTTTGGATCCAATCCAATGGTTGTTCAATTTTCTTTGACGATCGTTGGATTAGAAGAGTTCTAAGTGGTGGAGTATCGTCGAGATTATCACATATCATTATCTATAATTAGCTTCAAATCAACAAACTAATAACTATAAGTAATGCGTGTTCTGATGATTCCAAATTGAAGTTCTAACTCCATTTCGTACCTAGAATATGGTTGTATCCAAAAACCCAATATACCTTAAAACATTTTCGTTATTAAGGTTTAGACCATAAAGCGTGAAAAATGTGCCCCTTTTTTCTTTATTTCTCTTTACGTTGCTAAACATATGTAAAAATAAGAAGACAGTGCCACCAGAAAGTTTCTCTCGTATTTCAAAACAGCCCAACTGTGCCCATTAACAAAAAATTTCTTGCAGATTGGGGCACCTCAGCTGATAAACCTTATATTGTATTCTACTTTGCTCATCGATGCTTTACCTTTGCCTCTTTGAGAGAGATCTAGATGTTTCCCGAAATAATGAAGACAGCTAGCATTTGCTTCTTGTCAAGTGTGAACACACCCAAAAGAGCACATCACAAATACCTTACTTCCAAAGCTTCCAATCCTTCTTAACCTTTACAATCACTTTTACCCCCATCCCGCAATCATCTGCATAATTTGGTCCCCCATCTTACTGCTTTTCCCACTTTTTGGACGGCTGTCTATCACTTTTTGTCATCCAATCCCAAGCTTTCCAACGAGATTCCTTCACCGTTTCCACCTTCTTTGCTCTATAAATATACAGTTCTCCTGCTTCATCTGATATTAATTAAACTCGTCAAGTTGGATTTTCCTTTTTCTTCAAGAAAAAGAAAAACCAGTCTTGAAACCCTACCAATGGCTGCTGCTGCTACTACTACAAGCTATCCATACACAAGCCAAAACTCATCTTCTCAAAGATCAGTGGCCATGGTGCTTGCTCTAGTATCTGCAATTGTTCTTTCACCTATCTATACAAACCCTAGAAAAAGCAGTGATGCACGATACCATGAAGCAAAATGGAGCTCTGGGTTTGTTCTTCCCATGATTCTTGCCGGACTTATCATTGCCATCAAAACCACTTCTTCATCATCATCGAGTTCGTCAGCTTCTTCGTTGTCGTCGACTCGAGGATATTCTTCTATTCCTTCTTCTGATCCTTCGTGGGTTCTGAGAATTGGGAGCTCGTCCTGGGGGCTTGCTGGGGTTTTGGTGATGCTAATGTTTGTGCTTTCTTGGCAAGGTTCTGTTCATGAATTCTTGTGGAGATAGAGACCAAAAATTAAGTACAATTGTATCTCTTATTGTATTTCATTTTAGTTGGTTGTACTAGAAGCTGTTATATCAAATAATGTGAGTTGTGTTAGTAAATGGAGATTCTTGATCCAAAATTTGGGTATCATGCAGTTCTGTGTTAAAGAAGTGCAAAAACTGAATAATGTTTAAATAATAGTACAAGTTGCATCCCCATGCTATATATAAAATGAAATTGTCGTCAACTGTAAAACAAGATTAAGTTAAAGCTCGCTGGGGATTGAAGAAACTCCCAATGTATACGTCCCTTTTCTATCTCTCTGACTAGTTATGTGACAGGAGGTACGGCGGACGATGTGCATAAAACATCGGGGTATGTAAGGGCTTGTTTTGTATCCAACACAAATCCAACTTGTTAAACTTTAAGAAACAATTTTTGAGTGCAAGGTCCAAAATTCTTGTTTGGTATTTCAATTTTCAAAATTGGACTTAAGAACAACTTAAAAAAAATGACTTACTTCTTATAAACACAAAACTCAAGGTTTTAGAGTTTTTAAATCAAAATGTGCTCTTTCTCCCTATTTTATGTACTCTCTTTCTCTCTCATATCTTTCAACTCTCTCTCCTCCCAAACCTGTGATCCTCTTTCGATTTTCTCTGCTCTTTGTCTCTCTCCTCTCTATCTAGTTGGATTTAGAAGCTGCCAGTGACATTTCTTTTTCCTATTTAATTGTTAAAATTTAAAAATAATTTTAAATTTTATACCAAACAAGTTTTTGCGTCTTAAATAAAATGTTTTGAGATATGATGAATTTTTTAATAGGATACCAAAAGGACCCTAACGTTTCCTCATGATCAAGGCTAAGGATTGCTTGAATTATGCCTCGAGCCCGAGATATTAAAATAAGGTGACTTCCAAACTCATTCTCCAAAAATAAAAAATAAATCTTTAGAGGCTGCTGGCAACGTTCTCATATGAAGCTTCTTAATTCTTCTTTTCACCCTTTAATGTTACACAATGATTCGAACCATTTATTTTGAAGTTCACCCTTTAATATCTTATGGTTATCCAATAATGAAACAAAGAAATGTTATTCAGTTAAACCCTAACAATATGTTTGGATGAGGGAAATAAACTTGAAATTTTGACAAAAGTCATAAATTATAAATTGGCATGCACCAATTGTCACATCCCGGCCCGGGGCGGATCACTTCCCGCCCCCGCTCCACTACCGTAGCACGATATTGTCCGCTTTGGGCTTACCATTCCCTCACGGTTTTATTTTTGGGAACTCACGAGCAACTTCCCAATGGGTCACCCATCATGGGATTGCTCTAGCCCCCTTCTCGCTTAACTTCGGAGTTCCTACGGAACCCGAAGCCAGTGAGCTCCCAAAAGGCCTCGTGCTAGGTAGGGATGAGAATATACATATAAGGATCACTCCCCTGGGCGATGTGGGATGTCACAATCCACCCCCCTTAGGAGCCTGACGTCCTTGTCGGCACACACGCGACCAGGGTTAGGCTCTGATACCAATTGTCACATCCCGGCCCGGGACATATCACTTCTCTAGCCCGCTCCATTACCGTAGCACAATATTGTCCACTTTGGGCTTACCATTCCCTCACGGTTTTGTTTTTGGGAACTCATGAGCAACTTCCCAGTGGGTCACCTATCATGGGATTGCTCTAGCCCCCTTCTCGCTTAACTTCGGAGTTCCTACGGAACCCGAAGCCAGTGAGCTCCCAAAAGGCCTCGTGCTAGGTAGGGATGGGAATATACATATAAGGATCACTCCCCCTGGGCGATGTGGGATGTCACACCAATTCCCTCGTTTGAATTCATAAGTATAGAAATTTAGAATTTCCGAGTGGAAAAAAAAAACATGGAATTTGGGACCTCAATTCCCAAGTTTAAATTCCATGTAAATAGGTGTAATTTCCAAAATTCTAAGGGTGAGAACTTAAAAATAACAAATTCCATATTCAAATTCCATTGTTCTTAGGTTAATCATACAAAAAAATTCACATATTCTAGACAATAAAATTCCGTCATTTGAATTTTCATCATTTTAAAATTCCTTAGTAATTTTAAATTTCCTCATCCAAACAGAGCGTAACATTTTAACAACATTAATCAAACAGTAAAACGATTTATAATTTGATTGATCTTCGTTAGAGTTGATATTTAGAGGATAAACTAGAAAGTAAACGGCTTCCAATATCGCGTCAGATTAAAAGGTCGCTGTGCCTGATTCATATCCAAGCCCAATAAGAGACGAGCAAAGTACTATGGACTCTTCCCCATAACCCACCCACGCCCAATTCCCAAACTCACTCACCCTCTCTCTCTCTATCTCTCTCTCTCTCTCTCTCTCTTCCATTTCCTTTTCTTCTCCCGCTCATCCATCAGCAAGCCCTAGCTACTGGAATCGAACTCATCGATCAGTCTCTCACGCAAATCCGATTCAGAGAGACCTCACCCTCTTCGGTACAAGACGAGGTGAGCTATCTACTTTCTTTCTCTCCATCTTAGTTATGTTTGATTTATCATGAAATTAGCTGTGTAAGTTTCAATTTCTTTGATTTGGGTCCTCAATTTTTTATCCGGGTAAGCTTAATTTAGGATTTAGGACTCAGTTCTTCCATTAAAGGCGAAGGCTGACATCACTGACATCAAATCTACAATTCCAATTGATAAGTTCTTGATTTTCATCGACCAGAATGGGTTTTGTATTGTGGAAATAAATAGGGTTTAGGGTTCTTTTTGTCCAGTGGACAAAATTAGAATATAAATTTCGAACCTTTCGTGTTCTTTGAAATGTGCAAATTTCCAGTAAGCTGTGGAGATTGAGTTGGGGTGTGAATCAGAATATGGGTTTTCTATGGGACCCTTTTTTTATTTTTTATTTTTTACTCTGATTGTGTTTACATTGTATTTTTGTATTTTGGATATTCATCAATTACTGCCACAAATTTGTGACAGTTTGGTGTGCTAATTGGGTTAATTTTCCACAAAATCTGTACGCTCGTCGATCACTGCCTTGAATTTGTGTTAGTTTTCTTCGTAATGTTAATTTGCCCCAAAATTTGTACATTCATCAGTCACTTCCTCAAATTTGTACTAGTTTGCTATGCTTCTTGTGGTAATTATGCTCCAAATTTGCATATTCATCAATCACTTCCTCTTTTAACCCCAAAAATTATCACTGCCTCTAAATTCTTATTTCTGTTAGTGCTCTCGATGTGCAGCCCATTCTTTCTGTAGTGTCTATTATCCTTGACGCATTTGCTGGAGTCTTGAAAGGAAAATAAAAAGGTTCAGTAGTTTAGAGGTTTAGCCCATCCCATTGCTCCAGGCCAGCCTAACATAAGTACCCAGAACTAGAAAATGGCAGGGGAAGATGAGGACTTGCCCAGAGACGCCAAGATTGTGAAGACGCTACTAAAGTCGATGGGTGTGGAGGAGTATGAACCTCGTGTTATTCACCAATTCTTGGAGCTGTGGTATCGATATGTTGTTGATGTGCTCAGTGATGCACAGGTCTACTCTGAACATGCTGGTAAAGCTGCAATTGATTGTGACGATGTCAAGCTTGCTATTCAGAGCAAGGTTAATTTTAGCTTTTCACAACCCCCGCCAAGAGAGGTAATTTATGTCACTCCCTTTATTTTTCTGGGATCATGTTAATCTGAGTTCGGCTAATAAAAGAGTCCGAGAAGATGCATCTACATTTACTATGTCATGTTATAACATCAAACAAAGATTTGTCAACATAATACAGTTTTCTTCAGCTTGTGTATGAGTGTGCGCTTTTTTTTATCGAGCATCATGTAGAGAGTTTGACATTAAACTGACCCATTATCAGGTTTTACTGGAGTTGGCTAGAAACAGAAACAAAATCCCATTACCGAAATCAATTGCTGGGCCTGGGGTGGCATTGCCGCCTGAACAAGACACATTGATCAGCCCGAACTATCAACTGGCAATTCCAAAGAAACAACCAACCCAAGCAATGGAAGAAATGGAGGAGGATGAAGAGCCTTCTGAACCAAATCCACCCCAAGAACCGAAGCCCTCTGATGTGCCGCAGAACACTCCCCAAAGGGTATCCTTCCCCCTCACTAAACGCACAAAGTGAGGATCTAGCCGATGGGAAGAAACAGTGGTTCATCCTAATGCAGAGGTGTGAGATGTAGTAATTGTGTTTGCTTACAACAAAGTGCTGATTTGTATTAGAAATGTATACTTGTAAAAGAATGTTCTGCAATACTTTCGATTTTCAGTTATTTGAACGCTTATAACATAAGATAATTGCTAAACAGATGTTCTGCTGTTGACTTGTGTTCTCTTACTGTAAAAGAATATTCTGTTATGCTCTGTTTAAACATGATGAGGTACACGAATACTGGGTTTGTGCTCCATAACCAGAGGTTCTGCAATGCCATATAAACCGTAACGGGGATGACAATGGTTCGGACCGGGGAGAGGTGTAAACAACAAAACAACAATAAAGCCTTATCCTACCAAGTGGTATTGGCTGTAAGAATCAAAAATGCTTTTGTGAAGGAGAAATGTGCCATCTCCAAAAATCCTATGATGCTTCGGAGTTTAGGATACTCTTGTACACGGGGTATTTTACTGTTGGATTTTGATTCTTTATACATTCAACTAAAGATCTAACGTTGAAAAATTTCCGAAACATCTGATATTCCTGAGCACAGTAGAAAATCTCCATAAACTCTTTCATTGTAAGACATTAGCTAATCGTTTGCGTGTAGTTTATTCCCCTATCCTTGTTTCCAATCAGCAAGAAGGTCATGGTAAACGTGGTTCTCCACACCCTTGGACTCGTATCCCATTTTCAATTCTCTCTCTCTCTCTCTCTCTCTCTCCTGATATCGCTTGTATAAATCAAAATACCAATTGGCCAATATGGTAAAGGGGTACGCGAATATCGCCAACATGTCACCATAGAACCAAAGGGATGTCGAAACAACAAGCATGTCGCAAGGTGACTCCCTGAGTGTATACAGAAACTTATAAGAACATAATGTTGGGGGAGTATCGTGAAAGATAATAGTGCATTCAATGTGAGAACCTTCATAGATAAAGCAATTTTAACACCTTGTTGAATTCGGTTAGTCATCGAACAACAGAACCACGTAGCTGTTCCGTACAAATGCTTTTGATTTATATACAATAATGACTTTAGTATAACTGGATACCAACCATAAACGGGACAATCTGCATTCCGGTCAACTTCTCCAACCCGCCATACGGTTAGCAGGAGGCCCAGCACTCGATACACTTGTGCCCCGGTCGTACATGCGCTGAATCTCTTCTCTGTACTCTGTCAAAGACTTATCGGGAATAGCTGGAGTCAGCTCCACCACATCCCCCATCTGCAGCTTGCATGTCGGATCGTTCACTGGCGCACGGTTCAGCCTCGGCCTCAGTTCTTCCTTCAGTGGGAACCCGTACGGAGTCCATCTCAAGCTCCCTCGCCCAGCTTTTTCCAGCAGATTCATAACAGTGGAGTTTGCAGGAAACTCTTGCACAGACATCTAGAATAATATAACGTACATGGTCAGACTCATTGTAAATAAGTACCTGCTTGTTTTTCCTTCCTCATCAGATTAATATGAAAAGCATACAACACGAACAAATACGTCTCTGTGATATAAACGGGAAATACAGCCATTTCGTACAATTAAAACCTTACAAAATCCCAAAACAAACTTATTTACGTCAAGACTTGTGCCTACCCCATTGCTAAATGTGTGCCATATTATTTTGCTTGTCCCAATTTTGTGTGCCATATGGACACCCGACAAGGTGCATAACATGCGTCTATCAACACTGACGACACCATGCTTAATGCACAATTGCAAATGTGAAACTACAATGGTGCAGAACATCAGTTCAAGACTATCATCCATAGACAAATTTCAAGGTCATTGTCGTATGAAAGTTAGACAGTCCCATAAAGACCCACCTCATATACAGCTAAATTATTAAATCCAGCTACAAACCAATCAAACATATTCATACAAAATTAATAGGAAGTTTCCTAGAACAAACCTTATCATTCTCTAGCATGATGACAAACACCGGCCCGTCTTGCCCACAGTGGGGCTTGTAAGAATATGGACAGTCATCAGAATGAGTAGGAAATGTGCACGGCGGCTTGATTGAATCGTCACAGCCAACGGAGGACCTGTCTCTGTTCATTGCCTCACACTGCCAACTGACCACCCATCTGGCCCACTCAACCATTTGAAGCACAAATGACGGGTGTTTACAGTCACCTTCCTTGTATCTCCAATGAGCTGCAAATCCAAACTCAGCCTGCAAATGCATCTCCTTTGTTCGAATTTGGACTTCCAGCGGAATCATGCCTTCACCCATCACCACAGTGTGCAATGACTGATACCTATATTATCAGATGAATATTAGCACGAGAATGTGAAAAAAGGATAAACTAGGTGACTAGAACTTTTTTGAGGTACGTTGACCAAATAAACAAAGAACTTTTTGAGGTATGGCATACCCATTACACTTGGGTTGAGTTATGTAGTCCTTGAACTTTCCTGGGACCTCCGACCACAACTGGTGAACAACTTTAAGTGCCTCGTAACAATCATGCTCATTTTCGACAATCAAACGTAGCCCATGAATATCATGTATTTCATCCATGTTTAGCTTCTTCCTGTGCAAAATAAGCCATAAGCATGTTAATTTCAATCCAGGCATGGAGAATAATGTGCTATAGCACATGGATGTCAAAGCATGCAACTATAACTCATTAATCTACTGATCCATTAAGAACTATGTTTATAACAAAATTTATGGTCAACTTTTATGATGCAATAGAGAGAGAGAGCCGAGAGAACATACTTTAACATTTTAGAGTAGATGCTATACAAGCTCTTATGCCGCCCACAAAGAACATGGTAGGAAATGGCTTTATCCTTGAGAGCACGCTCTAATGTCTCCGTGGCAGAAATAATCATCGCCTCGTCAAACGAATCTACAAGCTTTGAGGACAGTTCTTTGTGCTGATCTGGGTTGAGATGCTTAAAACATAAATTTTCCAGCTGAACCTTCCAGCTAGAGATTCCAAGTCTGTTGGCCAAGGGCACAAAAATCTCCAAAGTCTCCTTTGCAAACCTCTGTTGTTTAGCCAAGGGTAATGCATCAAGTGTAATCATATTATGCAATCGGTCTGCCAATTTAATGAGGACTGCACGGGCATCTGCCATGGCAAGGAACATGGTATGCAGGCGATCTGCCTCAACTGTTTTGCATGCTGTATCATTATCACGGGCAAGCTTGCTCAAATGACTGAGCTTGGACACCTGATCAATTCCATAAAGAACTAGATTAGAACTAGTAAATGTCAATATCATATACAAATATTCATAGAAAAACAAACACAGCAATAGCACCTTTTGAAATATAGAATCCTACACTAGGTTTCACTTTTGTAAATAGAGTATCATTACGTAAATCTCAACAGCTGCTTTTTCTATTCTAAGTTACAATTAGAACACCGTGCAACATGATTGTTAACTTCATACAGCTGCAACATATGCAAGACAATCATGTAACTCGTGTTAACATGAGCTCAACTATAGAATTAATTGATATCACAAGTATTCATTCGGATATGACATCTATTATACTATCTGTAAAGTTCCAGTGCAGATGTTATAGAAAGCTTAAGTGGAATCCGTGAAACAATGGCAGGTAGATTTCACATATCATGAACAATTAACTTGAATCTAGTGTTCAACATACGAAAACAAACAACTTCTCATGCACGAATAAAAATTGATACTTGTCGAATTACTTCCATTCAGTAATACAATAGAGTAATGAAAATTATCGAACACATACCCCTTCTACTAAATCAGCAACCCCAGCTCCAAATTTCCCAAATATGTAGTCATAACACATAAAAGAATCATCAAGCGTGTCATGCAAAAGCCCTGCAGCAACAACTGTGGAATTAGCACCGATCAATGCGAGCAACACCGCCGTCTCCACACAATGCTGCAAATAAGGATCGCCACTTGCTCGCATCTACAATAAAACAACACATAATACAACAACAAAACTTCTCAACCCAATTCACCAAAATCCCAAAACGCAAAAATCGAAACAAAATTCAAACCCAAACAAAATTTACCTGCCCTCTATGCGCTTTTTCGGCCTTGTAAAAGGCCTTGATAATGAAATCTTCATAGAAAATCTTGTGCCGCAGCTGCGCACCCACTAGCAACTCCTTAGCATAAGGCTCAGCAATTCCCTCCAAAAACCCATCTTCCATGTTGAAAGTCAATTCATCAAGCACAGCTGAAGAACCCACACCCAAACCATCAGTCTGAGCCTCGAAGCTCGCCGAGTCGTAATCTATGCAGGAAGAGCCCAAAGCACCCCTCACAAACCCATTAAACAACCCATTACTCCCACACCGAAAAGAATTCAAGCTAATATCTCCATTGCTAGACCTTTCCCTTGCAATTCTCATCGGCGGGCTTCTCCCCGATCCCGAAACCCCGCTACTGGAAGACGAGACTGGACCCTGAAACACCGAAACCGGGCTCTGGTCCCTGTTCAACGACGCCCCATTGAACTTACTCCCCGAATATCGAAACGAGCTGCTCAATTCCTCGCCTCTATCGTGCCACCGAGAACCCAATTCCTCTCCTCCACCCGAAAAGCTGGACGACGACGATGACGCGTGCTTCACCGTCTGCGACGAGAACAGGCACGAAAGCCCCCCAGCCACCGGCTTCTGCGACGCGGAGGGCGTCGACGCCGTCGACGACGAAGATCGAGAGCTCAATTCGAAATCGTGTGAGGGGTGCGCGTTGATCTGGCACGGGTGCGCCGTCGAGCACACACTGCTCGGCGGGCTCGCGTACAGAGCTATTGTGGGGACCGTCATGGCTTCCTTTTTGGGGCGATTCCGGACCCCAAATCACTAATCGAGAAAACCCAGATAATGCTTTTCGTCCAAATCGAATTTTCTCGGCGAGCCACTAATTTTCTTCGCAAAAGCAACGAACTTTCCCGGAAACCAACCACTTCAGACACCCAATTGGACTTTTTCACATACCCAATTGGACCTTTTCAGATACCCAATCGGATTTATCAGAGAGACCCGGTTAGTTAATTTTTGAAAAGAAAAAAAAATCCAATTGGGTGAAATGGTTCTGTATCTAAAATTCTTGTTCGATACCCAATTGGACAAGTGAAACAAAGAAAAGTATAATGGAATGAAATTCAGCTACAGTTATGTACAGATTTATAGAAATTGAGCTCAATAAAT